TCTGTCAAATCTGGTTCGTTATAACCCGATTCCGGTATAAACAGGTTCGGTATATCCAGAGTCGACTGTATTCTAAAAGTTGCTTAGTATTCTGCTTGTTTCTTTTCCAAGTAGATATATTACCAAAGGACAAATATATAAAATGAAGTTGGCTTTTTTCTAAATTATCACAATTAGTTGTATCAGAATACAAAATAATAGATAAAATTTTAGAGCTATTAGGCAAAGAATTTTGCATAGATTTCCACTATTTTCTATTATTTTGTTCTCTATAAATAATTTCTTTGCCATTCTATAAAAAATAAAATTAAAAATAAATTTAAAAATTAAAATAATATAAAATATAAACATACTTAGAAATTTTATTAAGTTCTTTGAAATCCGTTACAAAATTTTGTACAATATCAGGAATTTTTAAAATATTTTTAATACATTTAAAAATTGGAATATAGTGAAGAAAGTATTCAGTATTATTAAATTTTAATACACAAGACTTTTTATAAAACAAATCTAATTTCATATTGTTTATATATGTTTTGCCTTGTAAAATATTACTAGATAAAGGTGATTTAGAAAGTTTTGAATACTTATTAAAAAATTTGATAATGCATTTTCTATTTTATTACTCAGTTTAAACTTAGTAACCAAACCTATTAAATCTGCATATGCTTTATTAGAAAAATCTTCAAATTTATTAGAATTTTCTTCTTCTGAGCTAGAAAATTTGTTAATTTATTGAGATCTCTAAATTTTCAGTGATATCTTTATAATTCTGCAAATTATCTTGAAAAATTTTGATAAATTCTTCATTTGTAACTTCGAAGCTTATATTATTCTTATCTTCTAATTCAAAAGACATATCATCATCTGCTTCGAAGTTTTTCGAAATATCGCAAAGGCTTTTCTGATTGGAAGCGATTAGGCAAATATTATCTACAATTTTATAAGATTGAATTCCAAACTTAATATTGCTTATGGAAATTTTTTTAGAACTAAATGATTTATTTTCAGAGCTAAAAAATAAATTAACCGAATT